GGGAGATGACGTGGCGCAGCGTGATTGATCGGCACCACAGCTGCTGCAGCTGCTTGTGCCGGTTGCTCAGCAGCCGCCTCGCCTCCGCCAGACTCGCCTTGAGCTCGCTCATCTGCTCCGCTGACTCGCTGAACAGCTTCAGAATCTGGAGGGAGGAGGAGAGGGGTAGAGAGGGGAGGAGACATGGACGGTGCATGGTGCATGAATGGTCATGAGTGTCGATAGCCGTGACAGCCTCCCTGCCAGACTCGCCTTCAGCTCGCTCATCTGCTCCGCCGACTTGCTGAACAGCTTCAGAATCTGGGGAGAGAGAGGGGGAGGGGGTGGAAGGGTGAGGGGCAGAGTGGTGGAGGGAGAAGGAGACACGGTGTGAGGTACATGGTCATGTGTGCGGATAGGATAGCCATGGCAGCCTCTCCGCCAGGGTCGCCTCCAGCTCGCTCATCTGTCCTGCTGCTGCCTCGTCAAACAGCTTCAGAATCTGGGGGTGGGAGGGAGGAGGCGGGGTCTCATCTCATATAAGTGCGTAATATGTATGTATGTACATATGCATATGTTGTTTGTAATAATACACAAACACACATACAACACCAACCCACCTGCGAGTAGTTGTGAATGGCTTTGTTGAAGCCCTGGTGGTACGCCTGCACCACGTCGTCCACGAGCACCTCAATGGTGTCACATACATGCATTTACAAACACATAGACTACACTGTACACATAGACTACACTGTACACATACATCCAACCGACCTGCGAGTAGTTGTTGTGAATGGCCTTATCAAAGCCCTGGTGGTACGCCTGCACCACATCGTCCTCGATTACCTCCAAAGTAACGCACATACATGCCCATATTTACAAAAGAACATACATATCTACAACAGCAACCCACCTGCGAGTAGTTGTGGATGGCCTTGTTGAAGCCCTGATGATAAGCCTGCAACACGTCGTCCACAAGCACCTCGATGGTGACAGATACATGCATTTACATGCACATACATCCAACCGACCTGCGAGTAGTTGTGGATGGCCTTGTTAAACCCTTGATGATAAGCCTGCACCACGTCGTCCACGAGCACCTCTACTGCAATATATTTACTTACATTACATGCACATACAATAACAACACCTACCCACCTGAGAGTAGTTGTGAATGGCTTTGTTGAAGCCCTGGTGGTAAGCCTGCACGACGTCGTCCACGAGCACATCGAAGGTAACACATATGTTCACACATACACACATACAAACAGCGAGCAACCGACCTGAGAGTAGTTGTGAATGGCCTTGTTGAAGCCCTGGTGGTACGCCTGCACGACATCATCCACAAGCACCTCGATCTAGTAACACACATACCTACACACGTACTTACAAGTTACAACAGCAAGCAACCGACCTGAGAGTAGTTGTGAATGGCCTTGTTAAAGCCCTGGTGGTACGCCTGCACGACGTCGTCCACGAGCACCTCGATGGTGTCTCGCAGCTTCGCCAGGCTCGCCATGTCATCCTGAGGGTACCCTGACGTCAGCACCGCCACCACGTGCGGCAGCGTGTCGAATCGTGGCTCCTTCCACACGTCCTGGATGCCCGATAGCTGATCCTCCACGGCCTGGGGGGGAGTGTGGTTGGGGCGGGTGGGGGGGGAGACAGGTGGGTTGAAGAGTGCAAGTGGGAAAAAAGGATGGATTAAAATGCCAAAAGAACCTATCAAGGCGTGTCTAACCGCGGCTCCTTCCACACGTCCTGGATGCCCGATAGCTGTTCCTCCACGGCCTGGGGGGAGGTGGGGAAGAAAGTAAGCGGGTGAAGAATGCAAGAGGGAACAAGGATGGGTGAAATCGCCTTAAATAAATATCAAAGTGTGTTGAACCGTGGTTGGCCCCTTCCACTTCCACACTTCTTGAATGCCCGGTCGCTGGTCCTCCGCGTCCTTAGCGGGAAGTGGAGAGGAAAATAGGGGGAGCAGGTGGTGGGGGGAGGGGAGGGTGGGGTGGGAGTTCAGGCGAGAAACGAAGGTTGGTCACAATGACACGGGCAAAGAAAAAACGGTGCGTCTAATCGTGGCTCCTTCCACACGTCCTGAATGTACGGACAGCCGGTCCTCTACCGCCTGAACACGAAAGCGGAGGGGGGGGGGAAGGGGGGAACAAGGGGAAAATGTGCGATTGAGGGGAGGCGGCGGGATGGAGAGAAGGAGGGGAGAGGGGGAAGGGGGAAAAGGTGGGAAACGGTAGAAAATGGGAAAATGGGCTGAGAAAGAGGGAATAGGAGCACATGGGAATAGGATGAGACGGGGACGTTGTTAGTGCCATCCAGCCGAAGCTCCACCGCGCGGGTCGAAGAGTGAGGCGAGGGTAACGGAACATAGACGAGCGTAAATGGGGAAGGCGAAAACGCAGAAGAATTTAATAAAGGAACGGGAGAGGAAGCGTAAAAACATGGTTCAGAGGAAACGTGTCAGTCTGGTCTGGTTTCACCATTGAAGAGAGAGTCTTTCGTCGGAGAAAAAAAAAAGTCAAGGGAAATAGGTGCAGCTCTTTTTAATCGAAGCAATGTGAGAGATTTTTCCCCGTTAAAACGCTGCCACGATTTAAGAAACGTTCCCGTGAAACAGTAGGTGTCCGACACGGGCACAGTATTCTTTTTCGACTAGCGTCGCTTTGTTGTGGTGCAAGCAGCGAATCGCCACGCGACAAGAGCACGACGACTGGAGTCGACGAGAGTGGAAGTGACAGGACGACGCTACGACTCATGCGCGAAAAGTCAACCGGAAACTTCGCTTGTCACTACCGAGTTAGAGCAATGAAAACATAGAATGAAGGAACAAAAATAGGAAGTTTAACCATTCCGCGATGTATCTTACTATCCCATCAGACAATCAGCTCTTAATCGATAGCGACATATCGAATCGCGGAGCACAAAGCGAAGCCATTCCAAACGACTACGAGAGCAGGCTAACAATTAGAACGAGCACAGCTACCACGCTAAGGCATGGTTGCTCACCCCCCAGTTCATCTCCTCCATCTCGTCCTCCATGCCGCGTTAGTCGCCGCGTGCACCGCGCGTATCGAACAATGTCTATGGCACCGCAAGCTAGAATATGTTGGGATACTAAAGCTATGGCCTGACCAAGGCAACCCCCAGCAATTTTAGGGAAAATGCCGAACAGAATCGGTGTTCCCGATTTTTGCTGTGCAGGTATGCATCAACGACTTGTGGTTGGCACTGGTTCTGCCATTCTGCACTCTCAGGAGTTTCCTAGGATGTGTGCTAAGGACGCGGTACATTTGTGTTCAGGAAGTTACAAGGGTCCACGAAAAAAACCAACTATTTGAATTCTTGTACAGCACATGGTGCATTACGGTTTTCCGACGATCCTATGTACCAACATTTGCTTCCAATTGTACACGGAGCAGTTTGTGTCTACACATGTTACCGCGCAGTTACAGAGCAACTCAGGCATTCGGATCTGAACATATGAAGATCCTACACAAGGAATACGACTCGAACTACCGCCTGAGATGTAAATGACTCGAACCACCGCCTGGAATGTACAAGGAGTGTATGTCAAATCTGGTTTCTGCAACCAGCGCTCCCTCGCCTTGGATCCATGGCTGCTGCCAGAATCTCTCGCCGAACATGCACCCAGAGCAGGCAGGCAAACGATCTCGTAGACCGATCTCTCGTTAACTTATCCTCATATTCTGTAACAAAGCGTCTTTGTTCCGATTCCGTACGCGCGCCGCTGCAAGGGGTCTGTGGGTTTCCTGTGAACGGATCAGATCGTCTCTGCACTTCTCGGCCTCAGACATCCGTCGATCTTCCTGCGGCGTGTGAGCGGCTTGGAAGCTCTGCTCACGGGGCCGAGGAAGCAAGAGAGGGGGCAAGGGAGGGAGCAGGAGCACCGCTTTTGGCCGCCGTTGCTCGATCATGCGACACAATAACGCGAGCAGGAGGACCAGCGGACTATGGAGGCCTCTCTGGTTTCATCCCCGCGTCTGATCCCCGCCGCCACCGCTCCCCGCACGCGCAGTGGCTTGTCGAGGCGAAGGAGTCTTGCCGCTGGACTAGAGTAGGTCCCCGGCTCGCGGGACAACATTTAGAAAGAAGATTCAGCATTGCGGCGACACCCTCTGTTGTCACCCTGTCACGACAGAGCTCAGTGGTTACCAGAGTCGTGAATGGCGAAGCAGGTAGCAAAAATATACTTATTGGCCAGCAGAGGCGTCTGGTAACCAGCCTCGTGAGCACCAGCTCGCCTGACGCAGCGAAGGCGCGATCAGTTGGAGCGAAAGAAGGCAAGGGGGGGGAGCAGGGAGAGAGAGATACAAGTAACAATGAGGAGTGCAAGAAGAGGGGGAAGCAGAGAGGGGAGGAGGATGGCAGGAGCAGGGGTGAAGGAGGGGAGAGGGAGGAATACGAGTCGACGGACGAAGAAAATCTGGGGTGGCGGTCGCACTGGGGCTTTAAGCTCATTGTTGCTGCTACCATTGTTGGGGTTCCCATCAACGCGTTTCCACTCATGGATGAGTGTCATCTCAGCTCGTGGGTGACTGTCACCTCATTTTAGCTTGCGTGTCATAGCAGCTCATGAATGCATGTCGTTTCAGTTGATGAACTATTATCATCTCAGCTCATGTGAGTGGCGTCTCAGCTCATGGGCGCGTATCATCTCAGCTCATGGGCGAGTATCATCTCAGCTCATGGGCGAGTATCATCTCAGCTCATGGGCGAGTATCATCTCAGCTCATGGGCGAGTATCATCTCAGCTCATGGGCGAGTATCATCTCAGCTCATGGGCGCGTATCATCTCAGCTCATGGGCGCGTATCGTCTCAGCTCATGGGCGCGTATCATCTCAGCTCATGTGAGTGGCGTCTCAGCTTGTGGATGAGTGTCATATCAGCTCCTAAGGGGAGTGTCAGCCCAATTCATAAAATTTTGCCAACACTCTTTTACTCCCGGTTTCTCGTTCCCATGCTCCCGCCGACCCCACACATGCAGGAGACTCACTCATCCGCCACTCAGTCGCTCTCCTCAGGGCCAAGGACCCGTTCCTCAGGCGATCGGGAGCGTACCGCCTCGCCTTCATTGCCTCCAATGGTGAGCTCCAGTTTTGGCCCAAAACCAAGTTTTCGCTCAAATGTAAGTTTTGGCACAAAAGCCATGTCTTGACCGAAATCCCAAGTTTTGACCGAAAATCTAAGGGCGTATCTTTGGTTCAGGTCATGCACTGTTTGGGTCATCCGAGATTTTTGGAGGACCAATGGTATTCGAGTAGTGTATCTAAAATGTGCCTGATTGGTCTTCCAGAAATCTCGGATGACCCAAACAGTGCATGACCCGAACCAAAGATACGCCCTAAGTTTCGAAACACAAGCCAAGTCTTGATCCAAAATCCCAGTTTGTCTCAAAAACTGGATTCTGACCCAGGAGCCAATTTTTATGCAAAATCCAAATTCTGACTCAAAGCCTTATTTTGACTCAATGGCCGAAATTCGGCCCAAAAGCCTTTCTCAAAACCCAAGTTCTGATCCAAAAGCCAAGTTTTGACTCAAAGGGCAAGTTGAACCATAAACCAAGTGCCTGTTACTGCGTCAAACACCCCTGGCTGCCTGCATTGCTCTTGCAGAATACTAACACAGTGCAAGTTAGCCCATCCCAAGCCCCTTGGCCTCGTGGCACCTGCAGCATGTGCTAACCTTACTGGCTCCCTATTCCTCGTCTTTCCTTCCTTCTCCTCCCTCACCAGATGAGACTCGCATGAAAATTGTGGAAGCCGGAGCCCTTCCGCACCTCTTGCTGCTCCTCGAATCCCCTTTTCACCAGACTGAAGCTACTCCTCATTCGTCCGACCCTCCTCTTACAAACCCTCCTCCTCTTGCCCCTCCTCCACTCGGCCCCCCTCCTCTCTCTCCTTCTGAGAGGCGCACGGTCAAGGAAGCACTCACCTGCCTTACCCATCTGGCTCAATCAGGTTAGCTTCTTGTGTCGATTTCAACTTGTGCTGCTTCTTCCACTAGCTCCCCCTCCTCTTTCGCCTGTAAAAAGGCGCATGGTCAAGGAAGCACTCACCTGCCTCACCCACCTGACTCCTTCAGGTGAGCTTAGGTGCTTTTGAGGTAACCACACAGGTGTCTGTGTCCTCACCCACACTGGTACTTCAGAAGCTTCTTCAGGTGCTTGCTGTCTCTCTCTCTCTGTTGCAGCTCTTTCATCCCCTCCCACCTCTGAGACATCCTCAAAGCATTCACTCTGCTTCTTTTTCTTTCACTCATATGTCGCCTTCCATGGCACGGTCAGATTATCATAACAGCTGGGTTCATTGTTTCTCATGAATTCTGCATTCTGTCATACCCCTCATTCTCTCGTCCAGACACAGTAGCACGCGCCATGATTGCAGAAGGTGCTGTGGCAAGACTGCAGCAGGCAGCGGTATGCATCAGGCTCCTACAAGGCGATCAACTGAACGAGCTCCTAGAGCCGTTGGATGCTCTTGTTTCCTGCCTTGTATCTACTGGTGCAACCAGTTAGCATGTTCTACGGTATGCTGTATGGGGTTTGTACTTGTTATACTTTCAGCTTATGTTGGGATCTACAAATGGAGGCACAGCCTTCCCCAGGATGAGATGTGACGCTTGGCTGCAGCGCCCAAGTTGCACACGTACGGTACATCTCTGACACATCTAGCTAGAAAGGGTTCTCGGAAAAAGAAATTGCATAATCAACAGTATCAACACGTAGAACTTCAAACATGGAACCAGTGCAATCTAGTTGCCAGCAGCTTCAAATGGTCAGATGTTGCAAGCAGAGCATAAGGTAACCTGGAGGATGCAGAATATCCTTGACCACCATTCAGCGGCCATATAGGATGTGATTCTGCCAAGCTTGTTCCATGCATCCACTTTCTGGCCTCAGTCAGTGTTAGAACAGCAATTTTCCTGCCTTGCAGCAGACAGAGCATCGGTTGCAATCCATTTCATTAAAGCCGTTGGCCCAAATTGCACAAGTTTTAAAAAGTTGATGAGAGGAGTTTTGGCTGGTTTGGGTGTTGGCGAGTGTTTCCGATTTCGTGAAATTCGTTTTTTTTTCGTCAAACCCAGCCAGCCCCTCGTTTCTACACTGGTGGGTGCGACCTCGGAAGTCCCAAATTGCAGCTGGGCTTCTTTTAAAAGCTTGCACAGCCCACTTCGTCAAGTTTTAAAAACTTGACCCGAGCAGTCCGCAATTTGGGCCGCGGGTTTTAACGTGGTGAGATGGGAATTGCATGCTGGTCAAGAAGGCAGCGTGCATCAAGTCCTTTCTAAGACTGCAAGAGCAGTCCAAGGAGAAGTCTCCGGAAAATCTCGGTCGTGCTGTGTCTCCAGGCTCAAAATCTGGGACAATGCCTCGCGCACTTCGTATTGATGGTTTGAGTCTTGTGTCCATCCCATGGATAGGAGGAAATGGATGGATGTACCTAGTCAATGAGGGCTACGTCGATGCATTCGGATGCAAGTTTGTGCGAGAAATGCTCACATGCAGGGAGAAAGGGGCAAGTCAATGTCAGAATGTTATAGTGCTTACATTTATGTAGGCTATAGTGGGGTAGCCCATAAGGGGTACAACCCAATTAGGGTTAGTACTTGTACCCAACTCTTTCATAGTTCATCCATTCTCGTTCGTTAGTTTGACATGGTTTCAGAGCAGGTCCTTCGCTAGGACCGTTTTTTTTTTTGCCCACCACAGCACTGCCCCACTAGCCGCCCTGTTGGCTCACGCGCCGCCCCGAGCGACCCTCGTGCCGCACCTGCTGCCCAGCGTGCCCGCCCCTTGAGGCCCTCCCGTCAACCCTAGGCCCCGCGCGCCCGCCCTTTGAGGCCCGCCCGTCGACCCTAGGCCCCTGGCCCGCCCGTCGACCCTAGGCCCCGGCGCGCCCCGTCGAACCTAGGCCCCGGCCCTGCCCGTCGACCCTAGCCTGGCGCGCCCCGTCGACCCTAGGCCCCGGCCCCGCTCGTCTACCCTGCTGCCCTGCGCGCCCCGTCAACCCTAGGCCCTGGCCCCGCCCGTCGACCCTAGCCTGGTGCGCCCCGTCGACCCTAGCCTGGTGCGCCCCGTCGACCCTAGGCCCCGGCCCCGCCCCCGTCCGTCGACCCTGCTGTCCCGCGCGCCCGCCCGTCGACCCTAGGCCCCGGCGCGCCCCGTCGAACCTAGGCCCCAGCCCTGCCCGTCGACCCTAGGCCCCGGCCCCGCCCGTCGACCCTGCAGCCCGCGCGCCGTCCCTGCAGCCCCGCGCACAGCCCCTGCAGCCCCGCGCCCTGCCCTTGCAGCTCGCGAACCGCCCCTGCAGCTCCGCGCCCTGCCCCTATAGCTCGCGAACCGCCCCTGCAGCCCCGCGCACCGCCCCTGCAGCCCAGCACCCTGCCCCTGCAGTTCGCGCACTGCCCCTGCAGCCACGCACGCCGCCCCTAGCCGCCCCTTGCTGCCCGCTCGCCGCTTGCCTGCGGCCAGCTCGCCGCCCTCTTGCGGCCCTGGTGCCTGCTAGCCGCCCTGCCTAAACTCCGTGCTGCCCTACTGGTCGCGCGCCTCCTAGCTTGCCCGATATGACTTCTCTTCGTCGTAGCGGTGGGAGTGGTGGCCGCCGTACGAGCAGTCGCAGTGGAGCTGTTCGGTGGGGAGTTTCTGGCGGTGGCCAGATGCACCTGCAGCGGCGTCCGCGCGAGTCTCTTCCACCCCAGCAGCTACGTGAGTGGTACGCTAGTAGGAGTGGTGGCGGCGGCAGTAGTGGCAGTCGATGTGCAGCTCTTCAGTTGGGAGTTGCTGGCGGTGGCCTGGCGCAGCTGCAGCGGCGTCCGCGTGAGACCCTTACGCCTTTGCAACTTCGTGAGTGGTACGCTCAGCGTGGGGCGTCTCGGAGTAGTGCTCGCTGCCCGTACGTCATTCGCACAGGTGATCGGGCTGGACAGAATTGCGGGACAGTTGGTCACACACAGTCCCGCTGCTTCTTTTGTTTGAGCGACACCTGGCGTGCAGAGTTTGGCGACGCGGCTGAGCTTCCCCGCTGGCTAGAGCTGCTTAGGAAGGGTGTGGAAATCTTTGACTATGACTCTATCCTCACTGCCATGTATGCTTTGACTATTGGTACCGAGGGTGACTGTTCCCTATGTGTGCTGCCTGACCCAGGTATAGAGGCTGCTGCTCTAGGTGTTAGTGAGTCTGCTCTCCTTGGTACTGCGCCTGCTGAGGCCTTGCATACCTTTACGCTTGACTCAGGTGCTTCACGCTGTTTCTTTCGCGACAGCACCACCCTCACTCCTCTCTCTGCTGCTGTACCGGTCAGACTGGCTGACCCCTCTTGGGGCCCAGTCCTTGCCCGTTCCTCCACTGATCTCTCGTGTTCGGCGGTTCCGTCCGGCTCACTGTCAGGTCTTCACCTCCCCTTGTTCTCTACGAACTTGGTGAGTACCGCTGCCCTCCATGACGCAATGGTCACTACCACCACTCCTGGGGGTCAGTGTGTGTCGATCTGCACGTGTACACGGACAGGCTGCCACCTGGCCACGTTCACTAGTCGGCCTGGGTCGAGTCTGTACACACTGGCTACTGAGCCTCCTCAGGTAGCTGCGTATGCCCACGTGTCTGCGTCAGGTCTGGTAGCACCCCCTTGCTCATGTCGCCTCGTGTCGCACCAGACTCTCCTATGGCACCACCGCCTTGGTCACCCCTCCCTGCCACGCCTTCGTGGCATGCACTCCCGCCTCCTTGTCTCTGGTCTTCCCAGGTCTCTGCCTCCCCTCCCGCCTTCGCCTCCCCCGCCCTGCCTTCCTTGCATCGAGGGGCGGCAGCGCGCCGCTCCTCACTCCTCCTCGTTTCCCCCGACGTCTGCTCCCCTGCAGACTCTCCACATGGACGTGTGGGGCCCAGCCCGCGTCACTGGACAGGGCCGCGGGCGCTACTTTCTGCTGGTTGTTGACGACTACACGCGGTACACCACGGTCTTCCCCTTGCGCATCAAGGGGGAGGTCCCTGATGTCTTGATCCCTTGGATCCGCACAGCCCGTCTCCAGCTCCGCGAGCGGTTTCGCGAGGACCTTCCAGTCTAGCGTCTGCACTCTGAGAGAGGTGGTGAGTTCTCCTCCGACTTCTTGCGGGACTTTTGTCGTGGGGAGGGCATTCTCCAGTCGTTCACGCTTCCGGACTCCCCTTAGCAAAATGGGATTGCTGAGCGCCGCGTTGGCTTAGTCATGGAGGTCGCTCGTACCTCCACGATCCATGCGGATCCTCCCCATTTTCTGTGGCTGTTTACGGTCCCATACGCTGCGCATCAGCTCAACCTCTAGCCCCGTGTCTCCTTGTCGGAGACCTCGCCTACACTGTGTTGGACGGGGAAGTTTGGTGATGCGTTGGTGTTCCGGGTCTGGGGTTCTCGTGCCTTTGTTCGCGATACGTTCGCGGACAAGCTCTCCGTCCGTGCTATTCCCTGCGTCTTCCTTGGCTTTTCCCCTGACGCGCCTGGCTGGCAGTTCTACCACCCCACCTCGCGCCGTGTCTTCCCCTCTCAAGACGTCACGTTTGACGAGTCGGTTCCCTTTTACTGTCTCTTCCCCTACCGCTCTGCCCCTCCCCCACCCCCGCTGCTCTTCCTTGCTCCAAGTCCCCCTCTGGTAGACCCCCTGCCCCCCCAGGGTCCTGCTCCCTCAGGTGTGTCTCGGGTAGACCCTCTCCCTGGTACTGTGCCTGTTGAGGTAGCTGTCGACTCAGGTGCTGCTCGAGGTGCTGCGTCTGGGGGTGCAAAGCCTGGGGGTGCTGATTCTGAGGGTGGCGGGTCTGGGGGTGCTGAGCCTGGGGGTGCGGAGCCTGAGGGTGCTAAGCCTGTGGGTGTGGAGTCTGGGGGTGCTGAGCCTGAAGGTGAGGAGCCTGGGGGTGCTGAGTCTAGGGGTGCTGAGCCTTGGGGTACTGCTTCTTCTGGAGGTCCTGCGGATGCTTCGCCATGACTCT